CCTCGGGGGGGAAGCTCTCCTGCAGCCCCCCGATTACCCCCCCCCCGGGATGGCAGCCTGTGGCAAGTGTAGTCGGGCTGATGGCCGAGTGCTGTGATGTGCCGATTGTGGGCACTCAGGGCACTCCAAGCCAGGACTGCTTTGCAGGCGGGGAACCCCTGAGAACTGTCTGTCCGGGGTGGGGGTCGGGTCCCTTTAAGCACAGCCCTCGGCTAGCCTGAGGGAACAGCTCCACGCTCGAAGTCCTAATCTGATGCCCTGCTGGCACTGCTTCCGGCAATCCTTAACCCCGGTTCAGGGTCCACTCAATGTGGACATCCTAGTTCGAATTAACAAAATGCTAATTCGAACTGGTTTTTAGGTCTGGATGCACTAGTTCGAATTAGCTTAGTTCGAATTAACTAATTCGAATTAAATTAGTTCGAATTAGTGCTGTAGTGTAGACACACCCTTATTTAGTAATGTTAACTCCCGTAAAATAAATATTAATAAGCAAATAATGAATACAATTATACCTGCCCCTAATTACTGTTGATTTAATTAGAAATTCTGTAAACACATTCCCATACTACAATAACAGGCTACAGAGATTATAAAGAATTTGATCCTGAAGATACGTTATGAAGACCCAAAGAGGATAAGGAAGAGACATAACAAAATAGAGCAACTCCATACTTATCTGGTTTCCTAGGCTACAAAAACAAAGGGAAAAGCCTCCTGTGGCTGAATCCTTGCCATCATCCCAGATCCATATTCATTTTACATATCCCAACAGTAAGGTCACTGATGTCACTGGATGCTCCCAGACAAAACTGAAAACCTTTCAGAATTAGATCCATAATTGCATTCATTTATGAAAATGGAAGTTCTTGAGTGTTAAGTATATATATATATATTTTTTTTTTTTTTTAAAAAAAGCATGCCTGATTCACAACTGCATTACTCCATTTTTACTTCACTGAAATCATTAGAATTATACTGTCATAAAACTGGACTAACTCAGCAATAAACCAGGCCCAGTAAACCCCTGTAAATCATATGTACTGTTAGGGTTGCTAAATGATCTACCAAAAATACCGAACATATGGGTGAAAAATTTGTGGAGAAAAACAAAAAACAAAAAAAAAACCCACAACCCACCCACACCGAACACACATACTGTGTAGCTACTACCAAGTGGGAACAAAGGGGGAGGCAGCAGAGCCTGCTCTGCAAAGCAGCCACCTGCTACCCAAAGCAGAGAGAGGCAGACCCCAGGGCAACACAATGGCAGGAAGGGGGGCGCTCTGCAGCATTGACAGAACGCCAAGGGAGAAAAAAACAGATCCTGCATCAGACTACTTAGAGCAGAGGAAAAATTGTGGCTCTTAAAGGAGCAGGTTTTTTTTTGTTTTTTTTTTGCCCAACGACTTTCGTGGGCTTCTCTCCTGGACTACGGCACTACAACGCACTTGACCAGCGCTCAGGAGCAGGGACAGGGCTTCTACTCCTCCCCACGGCGTCACTCCTCCTCACAAGCCATCAGCTGAGGGCTCCTAGCGCCAATTGTGCCCCGCCTCCCAGTCACTCCCACGCCCCCGCCCGGCTTCTGCATGCAACCAGACGCTCCCAGCGCCAATCGCGGCCCCGCCGCCCAGCCTGGGACTCCCTCTGGTTGCGTGCAGAAGCCTGGCAGGGGCGGGGGGA